ATAAAAGCGAAAATAAACATAAGAAATATACCCACGCCTTTGTCCAACTGGACCAGCTCTAATTCATCTCGTCTGGAATRTCGTCATCAAATCCCAGTACCTAACATGAAAGAAGTCAAAAAATGAAGCGAAAACAAAAAAATTTAAATCCAGAGAAATAAACATTTTCGCAGCTTACACAAGTTTCCGTTGATGGAATAGCATCTTGGGGTGAATTTTCTGCTTGAATGCTTTTCGGAACGACAYGAATGTCAGGGAAAAGGCCCGTTTCATCTACAACCTGAAATAATAGAAACAAAACATCACTCCCAAGGAAGTAGAAAAAAGTGCAACGAGTACCAAGAAATCTAATCAAAATGTATTTTAAGAAAAGCGATSAAATACTCCAACGTGSTGAATTGTACCAAGAAKGCAGGGATCATATCATCGAACAACATATCAATTGGTACGACGAGACCAGAAGCCAGTTTTTAACAAGATGGAGTCAAGCCGAAATCAAGGAACTCATATTAAGCTGTTTACGACAAGCTAAAACCAACGGTTTTTACGAAGATAATGGGTGTGCAACAAGCTATGATAACCTAATMATAGAAATCCATAAAACTTTGTGGTTGGAATGGCTGATGAAAAGATCGTGAGACTGGTGATTGGAAAAAGAGATGACAGAGAAGGGAAACCCGACAGACTAATAACAGCATACCCAATAAGCGAGGAAGAATCGAAAAAAAGCAGACCAGCAAGCCGAGAGAAGAGATAATRAGATTGAAAGGAGGTTAGAATTCCAAGCATTCATGAATGAACATCGAGAAGAAGACGATAAAGAGGAACTGAACAGTTCATTTGTGTTCCCTGATCCYGCTCCGGAAGGTGAAGAATGGGAATAATACTAGAGAGTTTTAGATTCACGTTAACTGCAAACGTCAAATAATCTTAAATACTTGATCTCAAAATTTCAAACGAGATAATGCTTAAGGAATAGTGATGCGTTAACGCGCGAAAAAGTGATCAATTTATACACAATCGTGAAAACACGGAGCGAAAATACATGGATCACGAAATCATTTTTGACGTTTGGTGTTCGCCGTAAACGCGTATCTAAATCTCTCTACTGTTATGTTTTGTTGTTGCAATTTAAATCTAAGTAACTCAAAACTAAAAAAAAAACATGATACAAACCAGCGAAAATGAAACATTGCAAAAACCTCAACAGAATAAAGAATCATTTTGAGTTTGTTACTTACGACATCAACATCATTCAGTGACGAAAAAGAAGCGTTAAATAAATCTTCCATATTCAAACCAAAGAGAGCACAACTAGGAGTCTTGACCACTTGAACGATTGCAATGAAATGACCACAGAACAAGCAAGCAGATTGTTCGATTTTGTTTTTTGCTAGCGTTTCATTGAGGTTTGAAAAGAACTTTTCAAAGTGTGCAACTGAGGTAATTGAATAGACTCAGCTGATAATTTAATTTTAATTACCAAGTGAGTAAAAAATAAAGTAAAATGCCTTTC